GGGGTGTAGGAAACGCTGCTGCTGCAAAGCTGTTAGATCCTGTACAATGGAATCACAGACCACTCTTCTCATCAGATCCCTGCTCTATTCTCTTCTGTGTAAGAACAGTCAGAAATCAGAGTGAAGATAAGAGCAATGACCGTATGTAAGCATAGCTTCCAGCAAGAGAGATTTCCTCTTTCATTTGCTTCTCTCATTAAAGAGATTTGGGCATACATTCTGTAAATGTCTAATAGTTCAAGAATGTTCACACTATGAGATAATCCCAGTCGTCCTGAAGTACATTTTCTAATAAAGACCATAGTCTTGTTGGTTCTCCTAACTGGATGATCTAGAAAAGGGGAATGGGATTCCTCACAGTTGGCACAATATTGCTCACCTTGGTCTGGTACCAGGCCTCAGCCTCAGCCCGGCTCCTCTGGGCAATGTCCTCATACTGAGCTTTGACCTCGGCGATGATGCTGTCCAGGTCCAGGCTGCGGTTGTTGTCCATGGACAGGACCACGGATGTGTCTGAGATGTGGGTCTGCATCTGAGACAGTTCCTGCACACATAGATTGTAAGATCATCTCTTCCAGAGACAGTCACATGGAATCCCGAGCACAGAATCTTCCACTAATTGCTGAACCCCCTTAAACTAAGCCAAATAGGGAAGGAGATCCTTACTGCGTCATAGAAGGCTCTGAGGAAGTTGATCTCATCTGTTAGACCATCGACCTTGGCTTGCAGTTCAACCTTGTTCATGTAGGCAGCATCCACGTCCTGGGGAAAGACCCATAACCTGGATCAGCTGAGGCCGCATCCCCATGCCGCTCACTTTTTGACCCCCTCCCCTTCTGCTCTTAGAAGCATGCATGATCTCAAACCACTCACCTTCTTCAGGGTCACAAATTCATTCTCTGCTGCAGTGCGCTTGTTGATTTCATCTTCATATCTAGGAGGGGAAAGTGCATCATAGACCTGAGCCATGGGTAAGAGGATACTGCAAAGGCGGGCTGAGAGCCAATGCTTCCCATAAGGTGGAATCATTACCAGTTGACCTTTCTCACTACTGATGTTGATAATTCATGAGTCTCTTTCATTTTTACCCTTCGACATCTACCCATAATTACTTTTTTGCTTTTCAGATTGTTCATAGGCATTAATGAATTACTTCTCTTTCCATTGACCTCACAGTAAGGAATTGTAAAGCCAATCCCATACTCTTCACTCACTTGTTCTTGAAGTCCTCCACCAGGTCCTGCATGCCTCTGAGCTCAGAGTCCAGGCGGCCTCTCTCCCCCAGGATACTGTCCAGCTGCGTCCTCAGGTTGTTGATGTACTGCTCAAACAAGGGCTCCAGGTTGTGCCTCACGGTCTTGGTGCCCTGCTCCTGGAGCAGGGTCCACTTGGTGTCCAGGACCTTGTTCTGCTGTTCCAGGAACCGCACCTGGAGGGGAAACAAGGTGGTCATTTGTAGGCAAAGGAAGAGAAGAAAGCGTCTCTGTTCTCAGGGCTGCAAGCAGGCCTGGGAGGTCTCCATTGGACCTGCCTGGGTGCAGCAGCATGGAGGGTCAGGCTTAGAGTCTAGATCTCCAAGTCTTTATCTTCACCCCCCACAGACCCCTTACCCAGAGAGACTGTCCCATGGACCTGTGAGCTTTGCCCACCCTGCACGTATGGGGCGTATCAGCAACCTGCAACATTCTCCTCTCGACAAGCACACTTAGGAATCTTGTTCAAAATTAGCATCTACCTGGTTTATTGTATAAAACTTGTCCTTTGTATAAGAGCTCCATTAGAAGGGATGGTGTTATCTAATTATTCAAAAGGACTCTTAACTTCCCTTTAGTGCAGGAATCTCCTGGGAAACATCCTTGGTGCATGGTCACCTCTGTTTCATGACTAATGACTTCTCTCTGGGTGCACAAACAGTCCTGCTTTGGGGCAGAACAGTCTTGGTTCCCCGCTACTCAGAGCCTCAAAGCAGTTTTGTGGCTGGCTGATCTTTGGAATCTCTTAGAAACTTCATAAGTAAAAAAAATGAATCCATCATACCATCACTCCCTTATGCTTCAGGGCTAGCAAGCATTGAGGAATCTTCCTGGACACAAGGGAGTCCTTTCGAAGACTCATCAGTTCCACATGATCTCCCTCCCCTCTACCTGCTATCTGCAGGGAGCCTGGGTGGCCCTCTGTGGTAAGCTAATCTGAGTCCCCTTCTACTCCTTTGAGTGTCACCCCAGCAGCAAGCTCTCGTTGTTGCTCCAGTGGTGGGACTCTAAAAGGCCCGGTCAGGGGAAGGTGCTCGTTCCTCACCTTGTCGATGAAGGAAGCAAACTTGTTGTTGAGGGTCTTGATCTGCTCGCGCTCCTCAGTCTTCACGCGCTGGATGGTGGGGTCGATTTGCAGGTTCAGAGGTGTGAGCAGGCTCTGGTTGATCGTCACCTCTTGGATGCCTCC